GCGCTACTATTCAGCAGGGACTTCAAAGGCCACCTGCAGGCAGCCGACACCCTCCTGGCCCAGCTAGACCTGGTATGGGCAGGCGTGGTGGCCGGCCTGGACCTGATCCTGCGCTGGGTGGTCCTGCGCATGGCCGACGGCAACATGCAGAGCCTGGTGCGGGTGCTGGAGCTGGCGCGCGCCCTGCTGTGCGCGCTGCGCGACGCTGGGGGGCACCTGACGGAGCTGGATGCCCTGGTCTTCCTCCCTGCCATCGTGGAGAAGGCGGGGCACGGGCAGGTCAGTTGCTGGTGCTGGTAGAGGGTGGAAGGGGCCAGGACAGAAGAGTAACAGTGTATTGATGAGTGGGTGTAGAGAAAGGGGGGTCCCCGTCGAGGCTCCTGGGCAGGGGCCACGGCTGTGGGGACGTTGATGCATGCTGCCGTGCGGGCAGAGGTCTGCTCTGCTGGGCAATCGAGGGTCAGATTCTGGGACTCAAGCAGATGGACCATGACAAGAAGCCATGATTCAGTGTATCATCTGGCCTTTACTGACCCTCAAGACGGACGTCCTTCCCATCAAACTCTGCTTGCCTGTACAGGTTCTCCCCACCACAAAGGCTTCAGTGACACATCCCTGCCTCCCTTTCCACCCCCCTCCACCCAGGATCGCGTGCGGGCGCTGCACCGGGAGGTGCTGCACGCCGCGGCGGGGCTCTACCCCGTCCCGCGCCTGCTGGACCTGGTGACCCCGGGCCTGGCCTCCAAGTCGGCGCGCACGCGCATCGAGTGCGCGGAGTTCCTCGCCGAGCGGCTGGACCTGGACGGCGCGGGGCCGGCCCTCGCCAGCCGCTCCAAGCCCATCAGCGCCGTCGCGGCGGTGGGTGCTTGGTGGGGTGGATGCCGGGCGTGCTTGATTTTGCTGTATCTCTGGAGTTGCAGGTGGAAGGTGGGAGGGATTTGCTGTCTGAAGCCCTGTAAGCTCCCACCACCCTGGATCCCCCGTGCCTCCCTTCACCGCCGCAGCTGTTGAAAGACCGGGATGGGGCCACCCGCACGGCGGCCCTCACCGTCATCGAGGCGGTGTGGGTAGCCGAGGGCGACGAGGTCTGGCGGCACCTGGGCAGGTGGGTTCTGGGCGTCGTGGGGTTTGGCGGGGCGTGCCCGCATGCCACATGGTCATGCCTGCTGTCCTGCCGACGACGACCACTCGCGGCATGGCCCAAGCGTCTTTGTACCCCGACACTCCTGTGCCTGCATCGAGGGGTGCCCTCTGGCGACGGTGCCTTTGGTCTCGCCGGGTCCCTCCCCTCCGGCGTTGCCACACCCGCTCCAGGCGTTTTGCAAACTTACACCCCCCTCCATCATCCCCACCGCTTGTAGGCTGGACGTGCGCGAGCACGACCTGGTGGAGGAGAAGCTGCGCAGGAGCACCCGAGCTCGCGTGGCGGCGCCGACCGCGGCAGCCGCCCAGATCCCGGCCTCGACGCTGGCTCCGCCCGCCACCCAGGCCAGGCCACCGTCGCCCGGACCCGCGCCGTCGCCGCCGGTGCCGGCGGCCGTGGCCGGCACGCCTGAGTTCTCCGCACCCATGCCCCCCCGCTTCACCCCCCCCGTGCCCCTGCAAGCGACTCCGGCGCCTGCCGGCTGGGAGGCGGGCGCAGGGGGCCAGGCCCGCCCTGCTATCCCCCCCGCCGGCGCCGGCGCCGTGGCACCGCGCGCCGCCGCTCCCCCGCCCCTGGACGAGCCTGGGTTCGAGGCGCGGTGGACCGCCCAGGTTGCCGGTGTGGCCAGCCCCGACGTGGACGAGGCGGTGGAGGCCATGAAGCAGGTCTGCTCCGACCTCATGCCGGCAGCAGGTGGGTGGCCGAGGGGTGGACCGGATCGGGGCCATGGAGCGTGTGCGTCGGGTCCACCCAAGAGCCTTGCCTGCTGGAGTTGGAGAGGACTTGGGTGCCGCAGGGGTCCACATTCCTCGCTGGTCCTGCTCTGCTTGCTTTGCCCAGCAGCTTGGAAACACAGTGTCAGGGAACACCGCAGCCCCACTATCCTTACCTGCTTTGGCCTTCCTCCCCTCGTCCCACCCCAACTGCCCATCAACAAACTCTCAATGTCTGCCACGCTCCCCATTCCCCCTCTGGCAGAGGGCCGGATGTCTGCGAGGTCTGTGGCCTTGATGGCGGCGTCGGCGGAGACCCTGTTTGCCACCGTGCACGCGCAGCTGTCCTCTATCCTGGGGGCGGGGGAGCGGTCTCCTCCTGGCGGCCCGGGCGTGCAGCCGTCGGCGCGGGGCTGCAAGTACGGCCTTAATGTACTGCTGCAGGGCCTGGCCATCCCCGACGTCGCGCTCAGCCTCTCGCAGGTGGGAGGAGGGGTGTGGAAGGGTGGGAGTTGAAGCAGACTGTGCTGGATCTTGGGATGCCAGGCATACCTTGCGCTGGCGGGGGGGGGGGGGGGCGGGCAAGGGCCCGCGCCCGTGCGTTTCGCACCTTTCCTGGTGAAACTGTGCTCCCTGAACACGCTTCCCCGTGCAGGGCGTACTACGGGACACCATCTCCCTGCTGCTCCTCCGCCTGCTGGATGACCGCAGCCTGCTGCGATTTGAGGAAGGACCCACGCTGGTCAAGGCGGTCAACGTGCTCATGCTCAAGGCAGGCTGGGGAGTGGGTGGAGGGGGAATGAGCGGGCCGCAGGGGAAGGGCTGGCAAGGTGGCCTTGAGCGCGCTTTGGTTTTGCTGGGAGGTCGCCGGAATCACATTATTCACTGTTAGTGGTGACTCCTGCCGGGCATGCTTGGATGCGCACCGGTCAGGCTGCAGACCCCAGCCTCTCCCACCCCACGCGCCACAGGTGCTCGAAACGACGAACAGGACGTACTGCTTCGCGGCCTTGCTGCAGCTGCTCCGGGCGCCGCCCAAGGGCATCATCGCCGAGCAGGTGCGTGCTGCTTACAGGGCATCGGATTGTGGTGCAGACCGGGAATCATTCCTCTCCCGTCTTGGTCGGTGCATCGTGCCGTAGTAGAAGGCAGAAAGGGTCGGGGAATTGGAGCAATCTACCGGCGACGTCGCGACGGCTGCTAGGAAGATCGTAGCCCTCGACCGCAGACCCCTGCTCCCTCCACGCAGCTGCCCAAGTTCTACGATCTGGTGGTCAAGTGCCTGATCAAACTGACAAAGAGCCTGCAGGCCGAGATGGAGGTGGGTGGTTTGAGGGCCAGAGGTGGCGCCGAGTCGGGCCCCGCCTCACTCGCCACATACGTTTCCCCTCTTCCACCCCCCTTGCGCACCCGCCCTTCGAACCCCCCCCCCGCAGGGCGTGGACCTGGAGAGCCTGCTGCTCAACATCCACGACTTCTTCCTGTTCCTGGGTGTGGACGAGATCCGGCGGCGCTCCGGCGTGGACGACAAGCCGTTGCGCATGGTGAAGACCATCCTGCACGAGCTCTGCAAGATGCAGGGCTACGGCATCTACGCCCACGCCCGTGGCATCCCGGGACGGGATGCACAGCCCCAGCCCATCATCTTCGCCTACATCGCCCTCAACCTGCAGACCCTGTCCAACTCAGGCAAGGGGTGGATGGGGTTGTGAGGCGATTTCGCTGTTTTGGGGGCGGAAGCGGGGGTTACATTGCTGAACGT